AAGACATCAAATATTGATCCGACGATGAGCAAACGTGGATATAAGAATTGACAATGTCAACGCTATTTGAACAAGCAAAGAAGTAGAAGTGACACATACGTATACGTAGAGTCGCTCCTTTCTCGAACATCAAAAGTCTCAAGTTTTTATAAAACTGTCGAAATTATATTGAAAATTTTGAATGTCGATCGAGTATTTCAATGCACGCAAATTGCAAAATTTCATGTTTTCTATGCTTCCATCTCGCAAGCATCCATCATTAGACGAACAAATTCAAATATGCAAAAAGCCACTTATGTTCGTAATGTATTTATGCATTGAAAGGTAATTTCCTTTACGTATTAGATGGGTTTTTATCATAATGTCTCGTATAAAGAAATTAATATGATAATGAAAGCAACGAGGCAAATCACATTTTAACAAAATAATCTTATCGAAATAATAATAAAATTACTATCTATTTGTAATCTACTATTTTACTATCTAATAGTAATTACTATCTAATAGTAATCTATTTGCAATCTAAGAAATCTTATTATTTATTGAGTGCATTCAATAATTGTTATTAGTTATTGTCGATTTATGGAGTCGGATAAATTGCGATTGTTTAATTATTTTCCTCATTCTTTCAAATAATCGTAGTGTCAAAATCCCCGTGAACTCGATTATTCTATACAATACACGACTATTTATAAATTCTTAAAAATACATAAATTCTCAATTTATCGACCATAATTATTGCAACTGAACAGTGGCTAGTGTTGTTGGTTACATTTTCATAAACATAGACGTCTGTTATTTAGATTTAAAAAAGTTATAAATTGTACGTACGTACGTACGTGTGTGCGTGCATATATATATATATATATATATATATATATATATATTGAGATAATTGAACTTGTCAAATAAATGCAGCAAGTTTTGTCTGACTTTAATCTTACAAAAATAATATCTTATTATTGGGTTAATGTTATTTGGTAAGTGCGGCAATAAGAAATCCGAAGATAACGGTAGAAGAACAAAACGAAAAGCTAAAGAGGCATGAAAGCGTATATGCACGAGCATCCAGGTGTTTATGAGCGGAATAATAACCCGACTTTATGGAGCTTGACAACCAAGTACTATTACACCCTCCATATTTGTAATTATTATTATATACCATAATTATGCAGTTTGAGGCAATGCAAACAGATAACTTTGCACTTTTTTGTGGCAATATTATGCTAGCGCCAGTTAAATACGTCGAGAAATAAAGTATCAGCTCGTAAATTTATCTACGGTAGTCGTTAGAACTAAGAAAATATGTGAAATCGGACATAGATTATTGAATGAAAGAAAGAAAAGGGAAGGTAAATGAAAACATTACCTACGGGAAATTGCGTAGGCCCCTTTTGGTCGCGTGTTTATTATTTTTTAATAAGATGTATTTGACAAATTGGTTTTACGATTTTGTAGTTTATAAATCAAGTCACAAATGCACATAAAATCCACATGCATAATGATTAATATATAATATTAAAACATAATGAAGAAAGACAAACGAGTAGTAAAATGATTCGCATGATATTAAATATGTCCAAATACATTTGTGCACAATGATTTAAACGTGAAAATACATTTAAGTATCAAAACAATATAAAAATGTAGCTATAATCGATAAAGGTTACAGTTTATTTTACCATCCAATATTATCAATTGACATTTAATGACAGAGCAGCTAATTAAATTGAATACTTCATCAATTATACAATTGGAATTTATTTATTTTTAGACTATTTTATTCGATTGCAATTCGGTGAATTAGGACTTTCGTTTTTCGCCAAAACTATTATACAATTGTCAATTGTACACGTGCGTATTATTTAACAACATTTTCCCCTGTATTTCTGCGAAATGGCGTTTCTATTGCCTTGTAAAGTGAAGTTCATCGGACGTAAGATGCTTAAGGACCGGAAACGTTTCTCACTAAATTTTTAAGGCAGGACAAAAAGTTGAAATTTCTTTTAGCTAAGGCGTATAAATAGCCTTGGGCGTATATACGACAAAAACAAAAAAAAAAAAAACAAAACAAAAAAAACAAAAAACAAAAAAACAAAAAAAAGAAAGAAAGAAAAGCCAAGGATATGTCTACGTACATTATTAAATAATCAGAGCTAAACGTCATGAATAAATATACGACACAGCACGAAATAACTAGATGATTGAGAAGAAAAAAACATTGCACTTTTTTGCTCCTTTACAAAGCTGAGTATTTTAAACAGTCGGATAAAATTTTTCTTCGATTCATTACGATGTGTTCGAGTACTGCTTGCGGCCGTTCTAAAAACGCGTGTAAATTTTTTGTAACGACATGGAACACGGAGCGAGTTACCCAACTATCAAGTGTAATTCAGCCAAATACGAGGTAAGAAACATTTTATTTGCCATAATTGATGACATGCTATTTCCTTTTGAAACTTTCGAGTGCTTTTTTTGTTTGTTTTTGTTTTGTTTTGTTTTTTTTTTGTTTTTTTTTCGTTTTTTCTTAAACTTTAAAGTGCCCTTTAAATTCAGATTAGCATTTTTTTTTTCTCAATGTTATGACTAGTTGAGGAAAGTTAAATGGATTATTTCGATGTTTTGATCAATTTCCCAGAGAGCATTAAACTACGCGAGTAATCATTTAATTTTTAATTATATTTTGTTTCTTGTATTAAAAATCTGCTAGTCGTAAATGGCTATTATGGACATTATTGGCATTAATTCGAGAATATAAAAGTTTTCCTGTCAACAAGATTATCTAAATATTTGTTTATGTAAATATTGTAGTGATATCAATGTAGGAAAAATAAATGCGAGATGACATGAAATCATCTGCCTCAAAATTTTCAAACAATTTCCTAACGAATATGTGAATTCGATTAATATGGTAAAAATTTGTCAACTCAAAGGATCAATAAATAATAATTCCTACATATATTTGAGTAATATGTAATTCATTTAATAAGTAAAATTACTTCAGTATATACATATATATATATACACACGCGCGCGCGCGCGCACGCACACACATATCTATATATATATATATATATATATATATATATAGCTTTGTATTTTTAAGGAAAATAATATAGAGTATGTTATTTGATATAAATTCAAAAGCTTTTTGTTAGCTTCGTTAGTTTGTTGATTAAATATGATTAACTTCCTATGTATTATATTATGGATAATGTACAGATCGATGAGACGGAACGCGCATTAAGATTGTATCTTATTAAACTTGCAAATTTATTAATTATTGGTTAATTATTTATATGTCAGCTCAATCGAGCCATTTCTGTCAAAAATATAAACAATCGATAAACTAACAATGCTGGCAGTGTAATAATTTTTAATATATCAAATCTAATGAATTCATTATGCCCAATATCATCAGTTTGCAAAATTGAAATTTTTAACGCGGCAAGTTAGCACATTTATAACTCATGAGAAATTCACATTCGCACAAGAATAATTACTTTAATTTATAATGTTGAATTACTGACACTGCCAAGCAATACGATTAACAAAGCTTAAATATCGAATTACTACGCTCGTGCGATTCGCGATAGCGATCCCAATGAACTTTCATTCTAGTAAAACTTTCATGAACATTATACGCTCAATTTTAACGCACATGCATAATAGTACCAATACGACCAATACGAGAAGTCGCTCATTAATAAGAGTCGTGCGCTCGTACGTGAGCAATGCGGTTTGCGAATTTTCACGATCTCAAATCCAAAGCCAACGACATCTCCCTCTAGTCGGTCGCGCTTCCAAATATAATGAATCAAAGTCGGCCCAATGGAGCCTCAATTAGTCATCGTAAGGCAACTTAACGAGCCCATATAAGTCAAAGCTTTAGCGCGTCGAGGGTGGGGGGGAGGGGGGAGCGACAGCGATAACGGAGGAACAGGAGTAAGAGAGATGACCCATAAGCGCGTGGACTTAAAGCCCAAAGCGAGAAAGGTTATGCGCATAAGAACGTATTTAGATGAAGGGGAGGTATTTCTCGTGAAACTCGTAAAACGGTCGCGCACGACGCGTCGGAGTGAATTACGAGACGCGCAACGCGCACTATAAAAGCTCTTCGCGTGCGCGTACTCGCGCGACTATGGCGAAAGTATTATTTATGCCGGGCATCTCGCCAGGCGCGCAGAAGCTCGCTCCAACGTAAGCACACGCTCGCGCGCACACGCTCTCTCTCTCTCTCTCTCTCTCTCTCTCTCTCTTTATCTCTCTTTATCTCTCTTTATCTCTCTTTATCTATTCATCTATCACTTTATCTCTCTTTATCTCTCTTTATCTCTCTTTATCTCTCTTTATCTCTCTTTATCTCTCTTTATCTCTCTTTATCTCTCTTTATCTCTCTTTATCTCTCTTTATCTCTCTTTATCTCTCTTTATCTCTCTTTATCTCTCTTTATCTCTCTTTATCTCTCTTTATCTCTCTTTATCTCTCTTTATCTCTCTTTATCTCTCTTTATCTCTCTTTATCTCTCTTTATCTCTCTTTATCTCTCTTTATCTCTCTTTATCTCTCTTTATCTCTCTTTATCTCTCTTTATCTCTCTTTATCTCTCTTTATCTCTCTTTATCTCTCTTTATCTCTCTTTATCTCTCTTTATCTCTCTTTATCTCTCTTTATCTCTCTTTATCTCTCTTTATCTCTCTTTATCTCTCTTTATCTCTCTTTATCTCTCTTTATCTCTCTTTATCTCTCTTTATCTCTCTTTATCTCTCTTTATCTCTCTTTATCTCTCTTTATCTATTCATCTATCAGTCAATCAATCAATCAATCAATCAATCAATCAATCAATCAATCAATCAATCAATCAATCTATCTATCTATCTATCTATCTATCTATCTCGAGTCACTTAAAAACAAATTTTCTCCACTGCCCCGCGCGTTATACTGTCATACTGCTACGGGAAACGTGGGAGGTTGAAAAAGGATGGTTATAAAGTGCGGTACCTCGTAAACGTCCACTGCCGCTCTTCTCCGCGACGAGAGTCCGCGAAGCAGCTCCCAAGCGTAACCCCGGGCCTTTCTCGCTCGTTCTCACTTTTTCACACAGAAGCGCCCTCGAGCTCGACGTCGGCCTTGACGAATGCGATTCCCAGGCGCGTCATCGGGGGCCCGGCGCGACACTCGTGCCGACGGTCGGGAGCCGCCTCGCCCGTTTCGGGGATGTCGCGAGACTCGCGGGTCGCCGGGCTGCGCTCCTGGACCTCGGGGCGGCGAGTCGGCTGGGCTCCTGTTGCGGCCCGGCGGTAACCGCGGCCTCGATGCACACGCGTGACGGCGTCGACGACGGCGGGCCCTCGAGCTCACGCGGACGAAGGCGCATATCGCGCGATGGCTAAACGGTCGAGGGAACGCGCGAACGTCCTGCTGCCTGGTGCGTGTTGCGTGTGACGGGGACTTTCTTACGAGCCTTGGCGCACGCGGCTCCTAACCTCCTCCCCGTCCCCGTAGGCGCCCTCGCCGCACCTCGCCTCGCCTCGACTCGCCTCGCCTCGCCTCGTCTCGTCTCGCCTCGCCTCACCTCGCCACTCCCCCATCCCCCTACCTCCTCGTCACCGCGACGAACCTCCTCCTCCCCCACGGCACACCGCACAGCTACCCGACCTCCTCCGCCTCCCCATCGCCCCTCGCCACCGTATTCCGTTCACCGTCTCCTCCTCCCCTGGCCGACGCAGTGGCGGCAGCGGCGGCGGTAACGGCGGTGTTGGTGGTGGTGATGGTGGTGGTGGTGGTGGTGGTGATGGTGGCGGTGGTGGTGGTGGCGGTGGTGGTGGCGGTGGTGACGGCGTCTTCGGCGGCAACATCAGCAGCAGCAGCAGCAGCAGCAGCATCAACAGCAACATCAACATCAACATCAACATGAACAGCAACATGAACAGCAACATCGACGGCAACGGCAACGGCAACGGCAACGGCAACGGCAACGGCAACAGCAGCAACAGCGGCCGCCACCACCACAACCTCCATCACCATCACCACTGCCCCTTCCCTACGTCATTTCTCTTTCACTCTCGCTTCTTTTCCTTGCGTACGGAGGTCCCTCGAGGATGCGATGCCATGGAGCCACCCCTGAGCGAATCCCCGTCACCTCCGTCCACTCCCTTCCGCCCGCCGAAGCCACTCCTCGTTCGCTCGCTCGCTCGATCACACGTGGACGCTCGATGCACGTCTCGCTGGGCGTACAAGAGTGCGTGGGTTGGAGCGCGCGCGCGCTCCTATCGATATACACACCTTCACGCTCCTTTGGACAGCGTGAATTTCGTTCTGCGATCCGTGGCTAATCGACGCAAGGTACTGCAAGGTTATGTGACATTATCGAGTCGACGCTAATGAAAAAATACTGCAATTCCAGGAACTGCGGGAACGCGAGGAACCAGCATTCATTGTTATTGCAATTGCGATCGGCACAGTAATGTTGTTAATTGCGACTCTAAAAGCAACGATTGCGATATTGCTAGTTGTAAATTGTGGCGAAATAATTGCAGGCTGCTTGCATTGGTGCGACATTTCTTTTAAACTCAACTGCCAATGCTTTCACTCTATTAACCTTCGATTCGAAATAGGTAACCGTGCTTTTTCAATTACCGCACTGCTCTTTCTCATGCGATATCTTATCTTCTCAACCCCGTATAGGGAACAATAAGATAATGCATGCACGCGCGGGCGAAAAATGAAATTATTTTTAAAACTAGTTATTCTCTTATTTAATTCACGGTCCCTTTTCATTTCAAACGTTTTTGGATATTTGCTCTTTCGCTTAAAGACTCGCTTCAACGCAACAAATGACTTTACATTATCTTTGTTAACTTAGTAAGTCGATGAATATATTGTTTCCACTTCGTGTTTTTTTATGACAATAAAATTTAATGAGACTTACCACATACGCGCGCGTGCACGCAAAAATAAAGCTCGCACACAAAGAGCGTGACACAAGGGAGGGGGACGGGCGGGAGAGTAAGGTATATCCTAACAAATACCTGTTAATATTTTGGAAACCTTATGTCGATGCTTATAAATTAATAGAATAGAAGGACATTACTTGGAAATTGTATCAGATTTGTCGTAATAAGCAACACTTCCAAACTAAATATGGCCAATAAATATATATGCATATAAAATTGTTTTATTTGCGCGCGCGCGCGTATAATCACTGATGCTAAATTGAAGAATGTGCGTATAAAATTTGCTGGCTATGATTAAATACTTAAAATACACTAAGTGACAGATAAAGAATGCTTCCCTTATGACAAGGCAAAACGAGAAAATTAAAGACTTTATGCGTAGGAAAGCATTTCACGATCTATTACGGTAGGTGTGAAGTTGTTAAAATAACCACGAATATCGTTAAAGTAATTTATACAGTTTATGTACAGTGTTTTAAATGTTTTGAAGTTTGATTTTCTTTTTACTGCACATATTCTACTTTATACTCGATAATACTTCAGCTACAACAATATGTGTCTATAAACATATTATGTTAGAAGCTTTTAAAAGTTTATAGCGCGGTATTCGAAAAATATACGCCTTAATATATATTTGATTATTATTTAACTAATGTATTTCCTTGAGTCATTGTAAACATTTATTATGACGACCCCATACCTCGGATAAATAAATACCATATTCCCCATAATCGTTTCGCGTGCCTTTCATTCTTTTCCAACGCATTTTCCACTAATCCATCATTATAATTCATTAACTTTTCAAAAAATTAAATCAATCAATTTTTCTTCACACGACAATATTTATTATCCATATAAAAGACATAATGGAAAGAAAAATTCAACTAATATAGCAGTTATTTCTTTTACAACCGATATTTCACTTGCTAGAATTGCTGGTATAACTATTAGAAGTAGATTATGGTTTAATGAGGGTAAGTTATGGTGTCTTCACAGTCACGCAGGTAAAGATTGCTTAAATAGCCTCGTTTTAGCCTTTAAATTTCACAATAGAACGAAGAATTTTTAAGGGGCGTCGCACGCAATTGCCCCAAAATTCTTAATCGGGAGCCTTATAAAACAGGTGTCAGGAGAACTATTAAATTAATTTTAATATTCTTTGTGGGTAATTTTAATAATAATATCCACGAAGAAGCATAAATACTCATTAGTTGAGACAAATATTAATAACAGGAGGAATTGATGGAAAGTTGGTACTTGGCAATTGATTTTAATAATTCCCCTCGATCGCCACCTCATTGCATTAAATTCTCATTCCTTTAAATAATATCTTATAAGGCGTAATCATATTATCTTTCATCGATATAATTTAATTTTACCAATGAAATTTTTTTTATTATTTCTTAGTTGTAATGTCGAATTAACTACCACATAAACATAAGTAGAATGATACTATACAGAAAATAATTGTCGTGGTAACAAATCATGCCATTAATTTGCATCCAAAGTGGAAATGTTAATTGTTTTTTTTTCCTTTTATTTTTCTTTTTCTTTTTGTTTTTTCTTAACATATTTTACGAACTGTCTTGATATAAGAAATTGAATACTCGTTAAAAAAAAAAAAACAAAAAACAAAAAAAAAAAAAAAAAAAAAAAAAACAAAAATTCCTAAGTAATGGAACGATAAAAATGCTGTCGGGGAAAATATTTCTTAAACTTCTTTTTCCTTTTAATTCCTAATTTATCCTGTTCCGGGATCCTAAAAAAGGAATTCCTATAAATTCATGTACCATATATTTAGTAACGCAATTACCGAATTCCCGCATTCCCCGGTCCTTCTATTCGAAAGAAATGAAAAATTTCTCTGAGTCTTCCACGAGACGCTCATCGCTCCTTCACGTGGCTCCCTTGATTTCTCCCGGGACGTAATCGGAGAATTAAGTCACAACCTCCCGGTGGAACGAAATAACGAGCTCCGCACGATGTCCGCTTAAAACGAAGAGTCGTTAATAATAAGAGGGAAGAGTGAGAGAGAGAATGAGTGAGAGTGAGAGAGAGAGAGAGAGAGAGAAATAAGCAAGGAAAGCTCTTCCTTAGCTGGGGACGAAGAGCAGCGGTGCAACCGGATCTTTCTCTTCCTCCCTGCCCCTGCATCGGGCACCCCGCACGCCGTCACTCCGCTCCTCTCCATCCCCGCCTGCCGCCGAAGGCCCGGCAGTCGAACTCGCGGCCTTCGCTCAAAGCGTCATGGAGAGCCAGAAAAGCCGACTTCTCGACGAGAGAGGAGGCATATCGAGCGGCCATTGCCGTATCCCGAAGAGCGAGCGAGCGGGGTGTGGCTTTTTCATAAAAATCCGAGGGCACTCGAGACACGAGCCATTTGCGCGTATTTTGGACCCTGCGTCATTGCCATTATATCGGGTGGATTTTTTTTTAAGCCAATGGGCACGGGCATCGCGCGATACGTAATTTAGCGGAGAAATTATTGCCCGCCGGTGATTTTTCGAGGTAAAAGAGACAGCGATTAATGATTCGATCGGTAAATGAAGCTTTCGAAGGACTTTTTGGAGGCCGTCGATGTCGAGGCCGTCGGAATTTCTACCTCGGTCCTCTCTCCTTGCCCGGCTAATGCAACGGCGAAATTCCTTCTAAGCTTTTTTTTTTATTTCCTTGGCAATAATGCCCTCTAACGAGGGTATAAAATTCTTCGGGATATTATAGATAACGTATGGATAAAATTTCTGTTAAATGCTAATTTAACGCTCCCGTCACTTAGCCCCGTCAATTCCTGCCTATTATTATATATTCCCTTTCAATTCTCTTTATTCCTCTACAAACATTTGTTTACTTCTTACGCACTCCATGCTATTTCATAAAACAAATGTTAACCTTACAATTATTTTGTATGCAATAATCTTGTTATGAAATATTTAAGTTTCGTGTTATGGTCCAAAGTGAGAATAAACAAAGTTTGGCAGTAATGTTTGGATTTCGTTTACAGCCTTAATTAGCAATAATACACATTAAAGCACAATCCAATGGAAACGGAGATTCATGGGTTTTTAAGTAGAAGAGTAGGGCCATTGTAATTGCAACGACCGTTACTGTAGTAATGTATGCGTAGATTACATTGAATTCTCTAATACATGCTTAACAATTTCTTATTATTATAAAATTGAAAATTCATCAAATGCTATATTATTCCAAGGAATGCAATTTTATTCACTCATCATTTACATGGAGATATCAGGAAAATAAAAAAAAAAAAATAAAATAATAAACTAATGATTTTAAACGCGGAAGCACAACAGCTGCAAATACGTGTAATTATTAATTTCATAAGTATTGGTTGGAATTTGCTTTGACCACTCGAATGGTTTAACGCGCGTTCCAATGTATATGTTAATGTCAATGAAGTATTTGAAGAAAGTCATACGAAAGGGGTACATTTAATTTACATTGGGCCGTAAACAACATTATCCATCGAATCTAAAAGAAAAGCTCTGTTAAAGAAAACGATCGGATGAAAGAAATTTTTATTCATCTTTTCTTTTTCAGTCTGAGGGAGAAAAGGAGATAGATGACTGCGGTCTTCCCCCGCCCCCTTTTTTTCTCCTTTTTTTTTTAACGATAGT